TTTTTTTTTTTTTTAGGATGAGGATTGTTTCTCCTCTGTTCTCCATCCCAGTCCCATTCTTCTTCCAACAAAATGGGGTTTTAACATGTCTGATGATCTGAATGGCATTCGCACGCAGGGTAGTTGCTGTAGGAGAGGGAAGAGGTTGGTGTATTTGTTTCAGAATGTGGCTCAAGACAAAGTCCTTTATTCAGCAAGCTGTTTTCAGGCTTCACTAGGTAAGTCCCCCGGCTGCCTCGGTGGTGAGAGGCTCTGAGATTGGATCTCAGAGCTGCCTTCAGGGGGCTTGCAGCCCAGCCCTTTGGCCTTCTGTATTCTATCAACTTTCCCAGAAGCCTCTCCTAAGTGCAGACTAGGTGTTGCCTAGAAGCTCTCTGGCACGACCAGATCTTTATCCTCCAGAGGGACCATTCCGTTTCAGATGCTCCTCGCGAGACAGTCACAGAGAGCACTTTTCCTCTTTAATAAATAGATACTTAAAAACAGCTTTGCCCTTTTGGGCCATCGGGGAGGAAAATGAGATGGGAGAGAGGTGGTGGGACAGCATGGGGGTCAGCGAGGAAGCAGGTCATAAAAACACAGATCGGGCAGTGCCCTGCTCTCCAAATCCACCAAGTTTGAGTGCTTTTCCTACACCTTAAAATGAAAGCGTGTACGTATAGCTCACGTGCAGTCTTCAGTGAAGGTCACAGACATAATATTAAAGCGAGTTTATTATATTTATTTTGGCCATTTGTGCATTTCTGGCTGTGGGGCAGTTTTGCATTTGAATTATGAGCCCCTCTCTTCTCGATGTCAGGTGGCCAGCTAGAAAGTGAAAATTCTACCCTGTCAACTAGCTGTTACACCTTCTTGGTGTCAAACACCAAATTTGTCTAATTAAAAAAAAAAAAATGGAATTGACAATGGCAACCTTAGACACAGCCATTCATTTAAAACTTCGGGATGTTTTGCTAAATATTTGTCTCATACGTTATGACACCCTTAGGAATCATTTATCTTCTGATCATCCAAAACAAATACATTGGGAGAATTGGTGCAGCTGTACTAAGCAATATAAAACACAAGGGTACTCTATAGGTGTGGACGTTTAAAAACTGAATTCAACTGTTTTCAGTGTTCCTGAAAGTTAGCAGACAACCAAAATATTTTCCAGCCTAGGGGACTTCTATTTATATAACTGTTGTTCCCTATTTAACTGAGTCCTCTATGATCTGGGTAGTTTGGAGTTTTCCCTGAATTTGTTCCAAACAAATAGTGTAGTCGGACTTTAGCTGGAGACAGAAGAGGCTGCTGAATCACGGGAATGTGGTAATACAATAGATAATTAAGCCTTCTGGAAGGGATCCCACATTTAAATCAAGTTTATATTGTTTCTTTCATGTGCCTGGCAGCTCGGTGCGTCAGCCGGGGCCCTCTCCTCTCACATATGAAGTTTATCATTATCCCTTAGATTGTTCTGGACATCCTAGGAGCAGTGTGGGATAGCTGCTGTCATCAGAGCTGTTCTCATAACATCGCAACTCCTCGCATGTCAGCAAATCCCAGGCCTTGGGAGACCTTTCCTCAGAGGGCCGCACCATGTTTTCTCTCCTTTCTTGTGGAGCAGACCAATTTTCTGAAGACAGGGACTGAAATGGGACAAAGTGGATATTGCGTTTAGAGCTTTCCCCGTACCTTGCCTTCGACCTGCTGATTGGCAGGTCCTCAGGAAAAAAAAAATGGCTGAGGTAATGAGCTCTATTAGGACCAGTAATGAACTAATTCTGCATTTTATCAAGGTAGCGTAGGATGTGTGTGTGTGTAGGGAGGAGAATTAGTGTGGTTTTATTACTGGGACATTACTTGGAGATCAAAATTGGGCATGCGGTTCCTCATAAAAGGAACCTACCGATGAAATTACAGAGGCAATTGTTAGGGTTTTTTTTTTTTTTTTTTTTTTTTTTTTTTTTTTTTTTTTTTTTTTTTGTCCGCACTTTATCTTTTGTTGGCCCCACTCCTGGCATAATAAAATATAAGGAATATAAAAATCAAACACAGCGAGGTAATAAATTGATGTCTGCATTAAATTGCAGGGCGGTTTTAGCTCGGGATAAGCACCGTCCATGGGCTGTGGTATGTGTTGGTACAGGCCGCGTAATCTCTTTTTTTTTATTTCAAGGGTGATTGGAAACAGTCCTTGCTTAGAGGTGTTTTCTCTTTTTATATGTATTGGTCCCTGGGTAGGACTTCCTTGGAATCTAAGACCTAACATTTTGAAATAAAATTAGACGGCACAAGTAGATATTAATAGTATTCTGGGAA